GATCTTTCTGTGCCTGTCTGACACCCGTTGTCCTTCCAGAAAAAAAAATGAAGGACATTACATTTCAAGCGGCTGGTGCTTGTGCTCTGCCTTGGCCTGCCCTGGGATGCTTGTCTGGGGGACGGGATAGAGGAGTAGCACGACCAGCGCGCCGACAGCAGCGAGGCAAGAGGCAGAGCAAGCTCTTGCCCCAAGCCGATGAGAACCAGCCTGGGACTTGGAACCCCAGTTTCCTGCCACGAGAAGAGCACAGGCAGTGCACCACCTACACAGGCACCGCGAAACTGCGCCACTGCGCCGCATTCTGGTCACGCCCACTTGCAAAGCTCAGGTGCCCAACATGCCCACATAAAGTCCCCCTGAGTCAGCTCCTGCAAAGACGCTCTCTATCAGTTATTCCTTCTTTTCCCTAATGCAGGCTTTATAATGATGCATTTATGCTCGAAAGGTATCACCCCTCACCCAGCGCGCACATGACCTCGCTGCGAGCATACTGAATTAAACAGCCTCATGAAAAAAACAAACACAGCATCATCCACAGTCAGTAATACGTTGAACACAGTGAAGATTCACACACAACAAAACACACGTTGTTGAGAATCCCAACCTCACAAAAAGCTTCAGGGAAGGAAATCGCTATCACGCCGTCTACAGCCCGGCTCCATGGCGCTCGAACAGAGCCGCACCATCACGCGCGTCAAGAATTAAATGGTCAAAACACATACTCCAAGCGTAAAGCTTGTATTCAGTATCGACAATCACTAGTCCTGCTGTCAATTAGGTAGTTGACAGCGAGTATGTCCAAGTCCCATTTTCCGAGAGATTGGTAAAAGTTGCAACTATAAAATGACCTTCATGCGGGAACACACCTAGCCCCTGCTCAGGCAGTAAGAGGGATCCTCATACCCCTGCTGCCGAAACCACAGTTGCAGGAAGGCTGAAACGATGCCACGTTAACATCGACGCGCGTACATAGATAGTTACGGTGATAATTAGCATCAGCCCAGCAAACCTTGGTCGAGAATGCTTAACGCCATACTGCGGAGTCATTATGACTCTTAGACCTCCGACTGTACCACAGTACCACCTATGCCTGGTTGCATTAGCACGGATGGGGCAGAATCCTGAGCCACTCCCTTGCAGCCAACGAAACATACTGCGATAGGTTCAGACGCGGAGCGTAAGGCGAAGAGCCTCCGCGCCCATCAGTGACAAGTCCCAGGGTGGCCACTGTTTGGTGTTTGGGCCTTATAGTACCGAAACTGTGTTGGCTAGCCGCCTACTACACCAAAGTGGTAAACACAGTGGAAAATAATTAAGTTAAAAACGCCCATATAGGCGACCGCCACCACATCACCATCATGACACTGACCGTCGAAGTGAAGCATACCCGATTCCTGGTCTACCACCGCCCAGTGATGGGAATTTTAACACAAGTGCATTTTGTCTCAAATCTATTCCGAAGCAGGAAAAAGGGCACTGAGAATGAGCGTTTTGACAAGGGCCACATGACGCTACAGTCTGGGCTCATCTCCAAACCTGCAGCCATTGTGGGGGTCCCTGGTCGCAAGGAACCATTCAGAAGCGTGCTCCCAAGGAACCACAGCGAAAGGTGAACCCACCACAGCAGGAACCATGATGTTAACCTTTCGTTCACAGATTTATGCTGTCCCTCAAGTGCTACCGTCAGCACGCAGAGTAAAGAATTTCACAAAAGAATGACAGAAGATACTCTTAGAAAAGCTTACCTACGCAGCCTACAACTTTGACGCTCACATAGGGCCAACGAGACACGAACACCAATAGTAAGAGAAGAACGTATAGTTGTGCCTCAGTGTTAGGAACTTGATGTGCGTCCAGAGCTGTAATAGTTAGCTTCCAGGAGCATGAAGAAGGGCGCTGCAGCTCTCCAAACTGTACAAGACTGTTGTTGATCTGTTTGTGGGCCCAGCGACTAATGCCGAGTGCAACACGCAGGATCGAGAGCAAAGCTGACAGAAGAAAATGGCAGGGAATAGGCAAAGAACAGAAGGTGTAGAGCAAGTGAATCAATTATGGAGCGTGTGAGGTTTCTAACCTGGCAGGCCAGAGACGCTCTGACAGATGTAAGTGTAGATGTGTTAAGGTCCAGGTCCGTGTTAACCCTATCCTCACCATAAGCCTCTCCTCTCTCTCTCTCGTTCTCCTCTGCCTCTCTCTCCTCTCTCCCTCTCTCTCTCAGTCCCCTACCTGCTTCATGTGGTCATCATACACGATATGTGCACTATGCGAGTATCAGGGGTTTACATACAGCATCAGGCGCGCGGCGCGGCTGCTACCTGTTGTCACTTCTCAGAGCTCCAGTATGTCCATTGCTACCTTGTGCTGCAATCCTGCCTCTGCTACACTTATCTTAGCTGGAGAGAGAGAGGTTGTATGTTACATAATTTGTAGATCTACAAGGGAAAATTCACAAATAACCCATAGTTATTTTCAGTGTTCAACAAGTACCTTGTCCATTGCGGCCAGCCTAAAAGGTTGTACTTGAGGCTAAAACCTATCAGGGACCTCTTAGAGGTTTTTTTTTAACCGTATCGTCTCTTTTAAAGCATACTATGTCTCCTGGTTGATACAGGTGGCATGCAGTTAAAAATGCGGGTCGATTGTTGTGGTTTGCCTGATGTGTTCCGATGATAGGATCTGCGGACCAGCGCGCTGGCAGCCCCCATTGCTTGCACCACCTTCCTCACCAGGCCCAAATTGTCGAAAGTAGGCCTCCAAAGTAGAGAACATGAGAAACCAAAGCAAGAAAAGTGCCTGACAGTGGAAAATCAGGGGCAAACAAGGCCTATCTTAGAATAATTAAGAAGATTAAAGCTGCAGTAGGTAACTTAATACAGCTTTGAATATTCTGAACATAACTACGAACTGACAGTAGTACCCATGAGACAAAAAAGCGTGTGACAACGAACGGTCAGCCCCACGCGACGTTTAATCGCCAGTAATGCAAGAAGCAACAACTACGAACAAACAAAACCAATCAGCGTAGAAAACCATGGTCGTGTTGTCAGGACACTTAATTTAAGACCATGACCCATTTCTCAATGCCAGTAATATAAAACTATAATATAATGCAGAAAATAAATAAGAAAAATAAATAGAGAAAACAAGATGGTAAAGAGTTAACCTTATGGAATACATATATTGGGCACTGGGCAAGCAGTTTTCCAGCAACGTGCGCGTATTCACCCAAGAACTGGAGGCAGCACGGCACAGAGCAAGAGAGAAGGCCAGCTCTCAGCAGCCTGTCAACTAAATGGTTGCTAATTGCCTAGTGATAAATTACTTTACGAAATTTAGCCAGAATACTTTACTTAAAATCTTCCCATAAATTATTTGCTTCAAGAAGCAGCCTTCGTCGAAGTGCCTTTTGCAGTGTCATACGTCATGTTACACTGCAACGCGCTAAGTTATTTAAACCCTTTTAAAAAAAATTTGTGAAACGAGTTTGAAATGTAAGAATGCGTAAGGGACAATAACAGAGTTTGTAAAGCCTACAGAAACATTCCTGACGTAAGTCACCTACAGGTAAATCCCCTCTACAGCCTTTTCTTAAGACTCTGGCCCGAGTGAAGCTGAGTGCATGCACCAGATAGTGCAGTCAGGACAAGTTGTACACTAGACATTGCCGCTCATGCCTGCGCCGCCAATGCCTCATCTTGGGATGAGGATTTGCTGTAGTTGTAGATAGACAGCTGCATTTGTATGCAAAGTCAGAAAGCCACTGA